TGAAAAAGGGAAGAAAAGAAAAGAAAACCGACTTTCACCGATACACCAGACACCCAAAAAAGGATAAAAAACTACGAAAGAATGAGAAAAGGGGGCAGAGGAAAAGGCCTAATTTAAGCGATACATCAGAATCGATTTAATAGCGAAGGTCTTGAAAAAAAAAAAACACTTTAAGTTCGAAGAGAAGGGGCTATGTTAGTTATGGGGATTGAGGAGCCTTTTATAGGTAAATATGGGGGAAAAAGAGAGAGAGAAAAAAAGGAAAAAAAAACAACATGGGGGACAGGTAGTTAAGTGGGTTTACATTAAAAAAAAAATACTTTCTCCCCATGCTGTTTTTTTTTTTTTCTTATAATATACTTTCTTTTCCTTACTATCCTGCTATTATCAGTTTTAATTTTACTTTTCAAAATTTTCCTCACCCTCCCACTCTTTCTTTATACATCGATACGATATAGAACGTAGAAAACATTTTTTTTTTTTTTTCACCACCACTAACGCCGCAATCTCGATTTTATCCTCCATAAAATGATGCTCGTCCAATGCAATTCCTTTGATTTTATTATCCTCATAAAATAAAACTCCTTTATATCCTCCCCGACAGGTCTTTTGAGATGTTCTTCAGTTACCAGAAGACGCTCCTCAGTGCTACCTATTTCTCACAAGTGGGGGAGACCCGTCATGCTACCTGACTACAGTGAAATATTTACAAGCTAATAACCATTCTTAACGACCCAATCTACACGTTCATTAAAACAGGTCTGTTCTTACTCGCTCCCGAAATTATGTCCGTTTAGAGCAACATTGATATGCTGTTAAGTTCATATGTAATCGATGCGTTGCACATTATATTTCTTTAATGATTTTTTAATTTTTTGCGTTTGTCTGTGGATGAGGATTTGATATATTTTTTTTTTTACATTTTTTTTTTAGTTAAGAAGAGTAATTGTGCAACGCTTATATGCTACGTTTCATGGTACTTCAAAATGCAATTAAGCTAATTAAAAATCATTTGTAAATTATGAGGATTTTTTTTGTTTGGTGTTTAATATCTCGATTATTATGCTATGAAATATAATATAATGCCCTATGGATTATTGTGGTACTTGTTCTAGTTCCAGATACATGGATGCAGAGAGAGAGAGAGAGAGAGAGAGAGAGAGAGAGAGAGAGAGAGAGAGAGAGAGAGAGAGAGAGAGAGAGAGAGAGAGAGAGAGAGAGTATGATAAAGTCAAAAACCTTTCCTCAGAACACAAAAAAGACCAAGAAACGTAACACGCAGTATCCTGTAACCCTTGAAAATTCAAAAATCTTCTTCAACCTTTCGTAGACCAACAAGAACTGACGTCTTCGAATTTTCCCGCGCGCCGTTCCATCGATCACATCCTAGTCATTTTTACAAGGATATTTTTCATACCACAAAGAAGAAACGAAGCCAAAAAATAAATTCACTTGTGGAAAGAAAAATGAATAAATTAGATAAAACTAGTAAAACGAAAAAAACAACAACAAATAAACAGAAAAGAAATGAAAAAAAAATCGATAACCGACAATGTTAACGAAAACCTGTCAGTCCTACATCGTGACGTCAAAGAATTCGAAAATAAACAAAGGAATCGTATCTTAAGATGAATATTTGGGTTACGAACACCTGTGAGTAATGAGATGAGTAAGCCTGCAAGGTCTGCATGCATTTCTTGCCCGAAAATGAGTCATAGTCCGAGGTATTAAGAGTGATTCATAGTGAAAGCAATTGCATGAGAGTGTCCCATAGAGAGGATAATTTTAGCAATGTTTATATTATCATTGACGGATGTCTAAGGGAAAAAAATGTTTAAATGGATTAAGGAAGAGGGAGAGGAAGAAGGGGAAAAGAAGAAGAAGAAGAAGAAGAAGGAAAAGGAGGAGGGTGAGGAGGAGGAGGAGGAGGAGGAGGAGGAGGAGGAGGAGGAGGAGGAGAAGAAGAAGAAGAAGAAGAAGAAGAAGAAGAAGAAGAAAGAAAAGAAAAGAAAAGAAAAGAAAAGAAAAGAAAAGAAAAGAAAAGAAAAGAAAAGAAAAGAAAAGAAAAGAAAAAAGAAAAGAAAAGAAAAGAAAAGGAAAAAGAAAAAAAAAGGAGAAGGAACAGATGGCAAATAAAATGATAGTTTAGAAGAAGAAATAATAATAGAGCTGCTGCTGACGAAGATGGTGATGATGATAATAGTAATAATGATAGCAATAATGGTAAAGATTATAATAACAATAATTACGATAATAAAAACAATAATTACGATAATAATAACTACTGATAATGAAGATGAGAAGGATAGCGGCGATGCTGATGGAGAGAGAGAGAGAGAGAGAGAGAGAGAGAGAGAGAGAGAGAGAGAGAGAGAGAGAGAGAGAGAGAGAGAGAGAGATAAATAGAGAGAGAGAGAGAGAAAGAGAGAGAGAAATGAAAAAAAACGAAAGCAAGAAATAAAAACCACGCATTACAAACCAGCAAAAGGAGACAATTCCCTTAACATAAACTCTAAAAAAAAAAAAAAAAAAAAAAAAAAAAAAATCTCCAATTATCCACCTGAGCGACAATGATGTTCTTTAGAGAGAAAAAAAAAAGTTTGAAGCCCAAATGTGCGAAAGTCGGCAA